AAATGCCGGGGGGGAGAGCTGCTGTAAGAGAGCTCAGTTCTGTATTGGGAGGGTGCTTTATTTCACCTGTGAACTGAGCAGAGAAGAAGAAGGGAGCAGTAGGACGAGAGAGCATGGTCTTAAGCTCCTCCAGGGGAGGTTTAGGTTGGATATTAGAAAGAAATTTTTTAGAGAGCAAGTAATCAGACATTGGAATGGGCTACCCAGGGAGGTGGTGGATTCACTGTCCCTGGAGGTTTTTAAGATGAGACTGGATGTGGCACTTAGTGCTATGGTCTAGTAACCACAACAGCGTTGGATCAAGGGTTGGACTTGATGATCACAGAGGTCTTTTCCAACCCAGTCGATTTTATGAGTCTATGACTGCTACGTACAGCAAGGGTTGTATCTTCTTCCCCCAGTACTTGCTGCTGGGAGACAGAGCTCGACTAGAGTGACCTTTGAGCCTAAAGAGGCCTGCAAAAATGATAGAACACGGGGTGTTGGCTTTAAACTGAAAGACAGTGGATTTAGATATTAGGAAGACATTCTTTGTTGTGAGGGTGGTGAGGCACTGGAATAGGTTGCCCAGAGAAGTTGAGGATGTCCCATCCCTGGAAGTGTTCAAGTCCAGTCTGGACGAGGCTTTGCACAACCTGGTCTAGTGGAAGGCGTCCCTGTCCGTGACAGGGGCAATAGGAACTAGATAGCCTTTAAGGTCCCTTCCAACCTAACCCATTCTATGTTTCTATGATCTCACCTTGCTGTTGCAGCAGCCCACAAAAGGTCTGTATGGCCTGTGACATCTTCATGTAAATTAGGTTATAAATGGCCCCAGGCTCTTTTGGTTCCTTCAAGTGGCAAACCAAATTGTGGTGGGAACCTTTGGAGAGAGAAATGCAAGGATTTGGGACTGACACAATGTGAATGTGTAATTTGTCCCCAAACAAACATTTTAGCTGTTCCCAAAATGTGTCTGGCATTGACATGGCTTTACCACACATAGTGGTAGAGGGAACAAACATAGACTTTTACAATTAGTTCTGTTCTTTAGCTCTTAGAGTGAAGGTCACCATGACAACCAGGATATGAGAACAGAGCTTTGTTTGCTGGTCACTGAGACTGGACATTTTTCCCTTGCTTTCGTTTTGGAGGGAAAAGTTAAATCTGAGGGAGTTTTATGTCAGCGAGACATTGGAGCCTGTAAATCTCTGTGATGGGTGAGCAAAATCTTTTAACTGAATGTGTCTCTAGATTTCATGCTGTCAAGTTGGACAGGAAAAGTCACAAGTCTCTTAGAGCTGTATTTCTTTTTTCAAGCAGTTTGCAGATGTGGGAGACAGTACTGCATTGTTTACCCTGTGTTTTATTTCCAGAGGGTTATTGCAAAATAGGAGTTGTCGAACAATTTCACAGCATATACTGGTACTGTTGATACCACAAAATAAGCAGAATCTGGAGTGTAAGGATGAGAGAGGGTGGTTGCTTCCCAAGAATGCCTGTATTCCATTCCTTGACCATAATTAACTACAATAAATTTCTAAAATCCTAGGTTTTGTAATGGCTTTATCAAAATTCTTACATACTCCCACTACACAGCACCTTTTCTTATGAATTTAACCTCTGCCTTTTGTCTGTGTGCGTCATGTGAGTAGGGAGCTCTGATGCTTGCCAGTTTTCATTCCTCTAGTGATTTTGCAAAGTGTAATCATTGTGAAGTGCAATTGCTTAATATGTAACTCATTCACTAAAACCCCAAGGATAAAGGCAGTGAGTAATGTGAGTCATTACCAGAGCAGTGGTATCTGAAAAGATGAAGACTCATGCATCAAGTACCAATCCATTTAGTCTTGAATTAAGAGTTTTAAAAACCACTAGTCGGATGTGATTGATATTATCTCCAGGCAAATTAAAGTAGTTACCCTGGAATGCTGTGCTGATGCTAATGTTTTTCTCCTTTGTTATTAGAAGTGCTGATCAGTTACATGTCCCCACTGCTCTGTTTGTCTATCCAAGACGTTTTCAGACCAGCAGCTCTCTCAGGTGCCTTTTACACCTCTTTTGCCTTTCCAGGCACTATGTACCTTCATGCCTGAAATTCAGAAACTTTGTCCAGAAAACATGAAGAACTCTGCTACTTGCTCAGCAGTGTTGAGGTTCAAACTTGTGTATTTCAGTCACACTTATTTTTTTTCAACCATTCAGGTTTCAACAATTTTCTTCCTTTTCTTTGTACTAAGTCGTAAGAGTTGGAATAGATTTTTTCCTACATCTCATTCCAGTGATGAACTTCTGGGTCCAAAGACATGGAATTTGAGTGGACAGACAATGACTATAAATGACTGGAGTGTTAACATTTCCATCATCAATCTGAGAGGGTAATTTGCAGCTTAATAGGCAACGTGAGCTACCGTCTTACTTTTGACATGCTTTGAGATGTGCAAGTGCCTGCATAATGTTGTATATAGCAGTCTGATGGGGCACCTAGGTTTAGCACTGGTGAAATGATTTATGCATGCTGACAAATCAGGAGTTATGTTTTGTTTCCAAGATTTCCTGTGGGAACAGAAAGGCTTCCTGAATTACAATACACAAAAATCCGAACAACAAAACCGGGCACGTGCTGGATGTATGACTCCCTTGAAGTCAACAGGGCTTGGGTAGCATTACACTAGTTGGGATCTACGATTAGAGGTCAACTATTCCTGTCAATGATATTATTAAGATCCTAAAATAACACATGATAAATTAGTATATCAGTCTGCAACACTGCTCACAGACCACACTTATAAGGCATTGTACTATACAGTCATCTTTAATTTGTGCATCACAACCAGACCACAGCCTTCTACTGTGACTTTGATTGCTCTTCAAATAGGAGTTATAAGGTGTGTTATGGTGTGTCCCTTGTTGAAATTATTGCAGAAAGTGTAACAGTAGACTACAGGTAATCTTTAGACTTTAGAAATCAGGTATGCATAATCCACGTCTGCATACTGATTTCTGTTTTTATGTCAATTTCTCAAGGCTTTTGGATGCAACTTTTTTATTCTGTGCTTCCTGTAACTATTGACAAGCCCCTGAAACACTGATAATACCATTAGGGCTTTTCTCCTCCTTTTGCACGATGTGTTGCTTTGCTCATGTACCTGTGATTGCCCATGGTGCCTATGATCAGTACAGCACATGGAGTGTACCTTGGAGAGTCTCTTTAAATTAATATTTTATTTTTTCTACTATATTGCATAGGAACAGGTAAGATATTTACACTGGTAGCCTTTGAGTTTTTGGGGCACTTGTCACTTTGTTTAGGGATCTCAAACATGCTGGGAGTAGTAGTATCTTCATGAGATTCATTACAGGACTACATTTTTCTAAGTGACCCAATCAAATGACTTGAAAAGAAGCAGCTACAGATCAAACCTGACAATGTCAGTTGCAAGGTAGGCGATGCCGTAAGAAACAAAGCTGTGAAATTAGATCAGATGTTTACAGGTCTAGAAAAAGTATACATTTCACAGCAGAAATAATCTGTAAGATACTCCATTTGTGTACATGATTCTGTGAGGACTTGGATTTCACCCTTGAACATAGGCACACAAAATCCTTTGGGGCACTACATTGTATGAAAAAATACAGATTTTTTCCTTTCCTCCCCAGTTTGGTTGAGCTGGGAATCCTCAACAGAAGCTGCAAGAAGCAAAACCTGAGGTTTAAGTCTACTACAGTCCTTGAAGGTAACTGCCCACAAGCAGTTTTGGAGAGCGTGAAAAATAAACAAGCTGTGCTTCTAAAGGCAGGCTTCAGGAAGCCCCCCAGAATTGCCCATTTGTTACAAAGCTCATTTGTCGGTGTTGCACTTGGCTGTAAGACTTGTAAAGTTTGTATCAACGTACTTAAAACTCAGACATACAAAAGCTAAGAAGCACATCTTCTCAAAGGTGAAAACCAGTGCCATATCCAGCAGGCAATTCTGTGTTCCCAACCAGGAGAACAATGTCCTCAAGTCTGGAGAACTGTAGGAAGAGGCCTGCAGAAGGCAGACACTAAGCCAATACGTGGAGATTTTTTTCACAGTATCTTTCACATTGCTTTCAGGCCAATGAACATTTGCCACTATTAACACTAATATAAAAGGAAAGAAATTATGTAGAAGATTTGTTACACGAGTGATTGAAGTGGATTTTAACTGTGAAGTCACTGCTCTTTACACCTGAGTGTTGATGTTGACTGAGAGTCCTTTTTTTCTGTAAGTTTGTAAATACACGAGAGGTTTTTTTGTTGTTTGGTTGTTGGGGTTGTTTTCATTGAAAGAGCTGGCTGGTCCAACACCAAGATTTGTCCTGTGAAAATTATTTTTGTTTTAATTGTTGCATATTGGAATACTGAGAATTAAGCCCTTCCCTTTTAAAACTTACTTTCCTGATACTAGCATCTCTGTTCAGTGTTTCACTTTGAAAGGCTTTTTGTCTTAAGTGATACTAATGATAGGGAAGGGTGTCCTTTTCTCCGTGTCAAACTTGTCACTGTTCCTGTTGATGGTGGATAGCTGATAAGGGACAACTGCCCATCACTTTGAAGTGGCACAGAGTTGTCCTGATCAAAGTATCTACTTTGTGCCAGAATCAATGTGAAGAGTCTTAAACTGATGCCTATCTTTTCTCACTGGAGAAGTTACATATTGATGAGCTGGTGGGAGAATATAATGATTTTTAGTAGATATACATCTCCAGTGGTGCTTTCTTTGGTTTAAAAGTAACTTTTTATGTTTCATTTCAGTTGGTCTCTAACAAGTTTGCTAATCCTATGTGGGTCTAGATAGGTTTAACACAGATTTATTAATTTAATAATGGATAGAAACCAAGACTGATGGAACTGCCCCAAATCAGAGTTTGACTGCAGTGAGGCAAACCCTCCTGTATGAATATATCTTGTTAGAATCCTGTTTCTAACAATTTGGGTGGAGTAATTCCTTGCCAATATAAGCTTGATCCATATAAACCAGTCAGTCAGAATCTTTTAATCAATAAGTGTTTATTATCACCTTATATAAATAGGAGCAGTTTTGTACATGAATTGCATATGCTGGTTTAAACCTGCTTGCCATAGTTCAGCTTGGCTTGGTTACTCAGACAGGTGCATGCTGAATAAATACAAGAAACATTCAATTCCTGCAACACAGTTCACATATAAATGGCACTGGAAAAACTAGCTTTACTTTCAAACCAGGCCAAACGATCCCTAAGTTTTCATAAGAGAGTTTTCCCATGCATCAGTTAATAGACTTTTAAATATTGCAGGTTAGTGAGGGAGAAGGACTCGGTAAAGTCAGTGAATTACATCCTCCTTCTGATGTAACCTAGCCTGTAGCCCAGTAATGGATCTGGTTATGTTGATCCTCCAGAAAATACCTTTATTTGCCCACTTTCTGTTTCAAACCAAAGATCATGCACTGGGTTGTCTTAAGACAACAGGCTATAGGCTGGTAACTGGTCCTTCGCCTCTCTTTGCTACTGCTGCTCTCACAGCAAGCATGAGGCGGCTCAGGGAAAAGATTTTTTTTTTGCACTGTGGGACATATGTGGTGGCTTGCAAGGACTTGCCTAGTCCACACCTTGGCTGGCAGCTCCAACCTGCCAGGGAGCATGAAGACTCAGCAGCTGCCCTGCTTAGATCTGGTCTTTTTGGCTGAAGGTATGTTTCCTTTCTTTTTCAGTTTCTTAGGAAGTGTTTGAAATGCTTTGTCCGTCTGTCTGCACCTCACTGCTCCCAGGTGCTGCTGCCTGCTGGCTTCAGTCCCTGCTTCAGGCCACCAAGTATTTGGGTTCGTCAGGCCGGAGTTTCATGATCTTGTCCATGCAGAGCAGGATGAGAGTCAGAAACCAGAGGCTCCAGCCGACGGCCGCTGCAATCCACCCGTAATCATCCATGCCCGACGGGCAGCACACGGCCGCCTGCGTGCAGAAGTTCACATCTGGTGGAGAACAAATGAGGTGAGCTGATGGGAGGCCAAGTACACAACAGGTCTCCTTTACTAGAAGGCAGATGAGACAGTGACTTCACTGTCTGCCCTGTGGCCTGTCACTCCGCCTTGGCATCTTTCCCCTAAGCCTGGCTCTTAACCGGGTTGGGTGGCAGTGCTCAGTTCCATCTGCATGTCTTCAGTCAGTATCCCTGTCTGGCCAAACACCTCAGCAGCTCCTCGTACCACTGCGCCCACCATTATGGAAATCTTTTAATTGGCGTCTCCTCTGTCAGTTTTAGGAATGGCATATGATAGAAGTAGCTAGTTAAAATAAAAAACAAACCTGGGGTAGAGAAACCCTCATGTGGGAGAGTAAGAGGATCCCTGGTAGAGACACTTTCAGCAGGACCTCCAATAGTTTAGGTACCCAATACCTCTGTCAGCAATAGGGGCAGTGGCAGCTCTCTGCTGGGCTCTTAACTGTGACTTAAGTGTAACAGCTTCAAAACACATCACTATCAGGAGATCCCTGTTTTACATGTTTAAAAATGAAATAACTTTTAACAATTCCGTGGGTTTTTTTCTTGCATCTTTTGCATTTTTTTCTGTTTTAATCACTCCAATTTCCTAAAGGCACTTAAAGAGTATGTCGTTAGTTGTTTCATTTATACTTTTATTTAAAGACATCTGCTATACTTTTTCCATTCCAAGGGCACTGTGAAGATACCAGCTCTGTGTCTATATCCTGTGTGGTAATGTGGAAATATCAAAGGGAGCCTGAAGGACCATGATATTTCAACCCCTTGGGCTCGGACAGAAGCTGAGTGTGAAACCCCAGCACCCAGGAATTTGCATATATTGTGTGTTGATGTTCATGAAGCTTGTTAGCTGTGAAAAGGAAATGCCTCCTGAGCTCGGTGAAGGGCATCCAGCCTCTTGCACATTTCCAGGGAAAAGGCAAGTGCAGGTGCTGCTCAGCTGCTCTCATTCATGTATGTCAGGGAGGACCATGGTGTCCCCAACCATGTGCGTTGGCTTTCAGTGCACACAGTACAACCGTCCTGCACTGCAGAGAGCAGGAATTCCCATCACAGAGGTATGTCTTGTGTGTGCCCAGAGAAGGGAGAGGGATGCCTATATGCCTATGCCATGCTTTCAAGTAACATAACTGTGTTGGTACATGTACTATAATACAGGAAGTGCAAGATTGTGGGGGATGTTTGATGTTTGAGTTGGAGAATGACTCAGGGAGCACTGGTGGGATCTCAAGTTGCTTGGAGCTGGCTCTTTGGGAAAGGCCTGAGAGGATAGGGAAAGAGGTTCTCTTGGGAATCCATATAGTGCCTACAGGCAGGTGGTCTGGCAGGGAGCTTTGAATTAGCTATCAATTAGTCTGTTCAAACCTATGCGTCTTTCTCAGTGTACCTAAGATACTATACCGTGCCAATGGAGGAGTCTTAGAAGTGCATCCTAGAGGTTCACCCACAACCATAGGCCTTGACAGCAGATAAATCCCTTTCCAGGACACCCTCTCAGTCACCTGTGTAGACTCATCACCTAACTTTAACGTGGTAGTAATGATTTATGAAGACTTACTAAGACATAGTGGTTCATACTCAGTTGTGGGCGTGGAGCTTCCTGAAACATTGGAGATGGCTTCAGCTGCTGCCAGAAGGAGAAAAGGCAAGCTGGATTAGAAAAGCAATACTGGACATCTAACATGAAAATCTGAAAAATCTGGCCTTGCAGAGGTCTGTAGGATGGACCCAACTTCGAGAAAGGAAGTTCCTGCCCCTAAACATTGCTGCATTAGGGTACACTTTCTTATCCCACCACTGTCAACACATGCTCCAGAGACCTGCTCTAGCAGCAGCCATAAGGAGGAGGTTCTGTCCTTCTGCCTGAGTGGGACCCTGATTTGAGCTGTTCACTCGGAGCTCAAATTAACCACTGTTCTTTCCCAAGCCACAGGGGCAGAACAAGCAAGGACTGAAATGAGAGAGACCATTCAGTGGCATGGGGAGATCCATGGCCAGCAGGCTGTACATCTGCCTCCTTTTGTCCTTAGAAAAATCCCAGTAACTCTAGGGTATGCAGAAGTCAGGCAGAGCCGAGGGCTGAGCCCATCCAGGGAGGGCCTAAGCAGGTCCACCATGGCCCCAGGGGGAAGCTTTGGCTTTGCTGCAGTTCAGAGCATCTGACACTGCTCTGGCTGGACTCCAGTTTGGACCAGCATGGTAACCATCTCAGGTTGGAAAATACAACATACAGAAATAAGTAACGGCCGGAGAGGGCCAGAAGATTTGATGAAGGTTTTGCCTCTTTATCCTGCTTCCTACTCATAGCCAGAACACACATACACTCTGGCACAACTCTTTGGCTGCTCTCCAGCCCTCCAAATCTGTCCATGTCATCGGCCAAAGCTTCCTTAGTCTTCCTAAGGAAGACCTGCCCCTCAGCTTCAGTGTGCTCCCTGTAGCACTGTGGGATCAGATGCAAGGACAGCTGCAGGATGCCTGAGTGGGGGAAAAGCACGAATTGCTGTGGTCCCTGTGCATCAACACCTGTCTGTCCCCTGCTGCAGAAGGAAGGGAATCTAAGAAATACCTCTTCCTGTGCTCCCATGAACAGCATACTTCAAGTTCAGCCAGGTGGAGCATCCCCTGCACATAGATGAAAAATGGCCCAGAGAGGCTACAGGGTGAAGGTGTGCTGGTTGTCCATAGACCAGGCAGAAGGTATGAGATAACTATCTCCAGTCAAACCATTGCTCAGAGCTGATAAATTGGAGTCTGATAGCGAAAATCAGTTTCAGCCTGATTTCACTGAAGATTGCAAAATAATAGCTCAGGTTTAATTTCAGCTCAGGAAAACAAAACAGAATAAGACCTTTGAGCAAACCTTTGCTTTGAGTTTGGTATTTTCCAAGTAACAGCAAATAAACTGAGGTTGTCTTGCGGGAGATGTCCCTCTTGGGTCACCTTCCATTGCTCAGCTTTGCATTTTGAGCTGATTCACCATCAGCAATACCAGAGCTTTCCTCATGACCTCTGCCATGCTCAGAGTGGGTCTCTGGGCAGCCTGCTCCAGGGAAGGGTCTGAATACTCCCCGTTCCTCTGTCTGACTCTGTTAGGACGCTTGCTGAATGACCTTGGCCAAGCCCATAATTTGTTTTCTCAGTTAATAAGTACCTTACGGGAGCACTGGGAAGAATTGTTAAAACCTGTGTATGATCTGTGGAAGGAAGTGCTGCAGCATACTGAGCATTGGTTCATGTTTATAGACTTTGCAGCCCAAAGAACAGGCTCTCAAAGCTAACCCATCTTTAAACAGCTGGCAGGTCTCATCTGGTGCTGATATACAAATTCAGGCAGGACCCTGGTGGGAAAGGGGCAGCTCACAGGTCCCATTTACATTTTGGTTTTAGGCAACTTTTATAATTAAGGTGGGACCAAAACCAGATTTTCTGCAAAAAGCACCCAATAAAAGCTAAACCACACTACATCAAGCCCCTTGGGTGTTACTGCAAATGGTCCTTTCCTCAGCAAGCACAGGAAGACCAAATAACTGTGGTTCCCTATCTCCTTGCCATTCAGTGGAGCAGCCTGCAGCTCAGTCACATTGACAGTGGATCTGTAAATCCTGCTGCCAAAAGAGCATCTCTACAGAATGACCAATCATGTCCTGTAATTCTCATTAGCATTAATCAATTCCATCTTTTTACAGTCCGTAGGTGAGACAAGGGAGCCCGCCTCATTTTGAAAGAACAAATTACTGTCAGTGGGCAATATATGTGGGTGGAAAGGGCAGGGTATAAAAACTGAAGCATAAAAGAGAAATACCTGCTGAGCAGGAATCCCAGAGCGCAGCAGTGAAGAGGAGCACAGTGGAGGCTGCCCAGGGCTTGAAGTGCTTCATGCCAGGGATCCAGCTCCCACCCGAGTGTCCACACGGAACAGGTCGCTGTCTCTGGCAGCTCTGGTGCAGCAAATCCTTGATAAGCTCAGAGAACTGGTGTGCAGAGCAGAGGGTGGAGCAAGGGAGCTTCCTGCTGCCAGGACACCTCGAACTTTCCTGCCAAAACCGGGTGAGGAAGGAGAAGGGCTTTGACCGAAACAGCTTCAGTGGGAGGTAGATACCAGGAGTTGGCCCCTGAAGGTTAAGCTTAAAGTTTTCTCCCTAGGATATGCTGCAGCTAGAGGGAGGAAAGGCCTCCAGAGCCAGCCCTTCCCAGCAGAGTCCCAGGCAGCTTCTGAATCTTCTTTTCGTCCTATGAAGATGGTATAATAGAGCTGGAAGGGAGCAGAGGATTGGGGTAGAGAATTTGTCTCCCTATTTGGCTTTGATTTTGCATGGTTTCTTGCTTGACTTTCCCAGTGATGCTTTTTCGGAAGGGCTGTGTGGAATCCTAAAAAACAGCAGGCTTAGGTCATGCTGGTACAGCAGCTGTTAACACAGGATACACAGAGTGTGGGCACATTCCCACAAAGAAATGGGGTGAAACCATTGGCTTTGTGTAGGTTACTGACAGCTATTGCAGAGTACCAATGGCTTGGGTTGGGATCAGTTCCGGTTTGGGGCATCTGCATAGGAAGAAGCTGCTGCTGTTCTCGCCCTGTGAGCACAGCGGTGTCACTGCTTCCATTGCCATCTGCAACGTGGTTCTGGAAAAGCTGTTCTTTCTTCGCTGGTGGTTGTGCCACCTCCTCCTTGATGTGGGCAAAGCCAGAAGCTGTGCCTTCCCACCAGCAGAGCTCTACCTGCAGGCCAAGAGGGCTGCTGGCAAAATGATACCAGCTGGAGAGTGAGAATTGTTGAAAAGCCACATTGTTGAAGTGCTGGTGTTGTTTTCCTGGTCTGAAGAGCAGCACATATTTCTGCTCTTCCCGAGGCTGTTGGCTGTGCTTGTTCCTATCTTTGATGTGATGATACACTTGTTAGAGAAAATTTCAGGCATTTAATCAGGCAGGAAGGCACTGGGAGAGATGGGCTCCTCAGGGAGCAGGTTGCTGGTGCTCTTCTGCAGTGGTCACTCATGGTTTTGGGTTTAGAATGAAGCTGTCTGGGGCCTGTTCTGGATATGCAACCAGTCTTAAAGGAGGCACAGGGGAAGGCACCTTGGCAGCAATCCTTGTAGGATAGAATTTAATAATTTTCTCTTTTTTTTGTTTCACGCTGCTAAAACCCACACGAAGGGACATGACAGGCTTACCACAGGAATAGCATACAACAGGGGACAGCTGTGCAAAGCTGTGAGGTGGATTTGGTCTCCCTTCATTTAAGAAAAACCTTGGCAGCAAAGCCCTTCTTAGCCCTGCCCAGCATTTCTGTGGGGTGAACCCACTTGTCCTCTCTCGCCACCAAAAACATTCTGTTCCCACCCAGCTGAAAATATTTCCATGATGCAGCAGGACACGGCAGCTGGAGGTTCCCTCCAGAGAGAGGGCACACTGAGCTGCAGATGAGGGCAGGTCAGCTGAAACGGGCATGTTTACCCACCTTGTCTCCCTGTTTTCATATCAACATGCTGCCAGGGCTGGCAGAGTAAGGGCTGTGCAGGCTGGTCTGTGACAGTCACCTCCTGCTGCTGCCGGGATGCACGGCCCTGTCCTTCAGCTGACACCGGGGTGGCACAAGGTGTGTCGTGCTCGGCTGGCAGCCAGGTTGGGTGTGTGACCCCAGTCCTGAGTCACAGCAGGAGACTCCAACTCAGAGCTGCTCCAAGTTCACCGATAGGACAATCTTCATCTCTACCTCGTTTCAGCATCTAGGTCCTCTTGTAGTGGTTGCTTTTGATTTATCTGAGGGTATTTATCTGAGCTACCTGTTGCATCAAAATTAAACCTCAACTCTTTACCAGGAAAATGCCCTCTCCTTTCTTCCAGCTTCACCTTTCCCTCCTGAATTTCTCAACCACAATTCCCCCTGAAAGTTGGCCTGGCAGTTAATTTTGCAAAAGTAATGAGTACAAAAGTGTTCTGTGCAGCACAAAATGCTTGAGGGGAAATGAAAAGACAAAACTGCTCTACTATTGCATGAATGATTCAATTTGTAATGAAATGTCTTTTGAATTTTAACTATTAACTAAATGCTCTTTGTCAGCTTGCAGGTAAATGTGCCCATTTCTAAGGGATGCTGAAAATTTGCACAATTAACATAATGTATTTCTTTTCCTTTCCAAAATGTGTTCCGTCTGTGGTTCAGAAAGGGCCTGCTCCAAACTCTCCTGAAGTGGTGAACAGGCTGCACTTGGCTTCAGCAATTTTTGGATTGGATTGGAAATGAAGGCTTTGCTTGATAAGTTCAGACACAATGGGAGCTCTGTAAAATCATCTCCTGACACAAATTTGGATTTGTTTCATTTCTTCTTTGTAACACGTTCATATTTCAGTCAGTGCTGTGGCTGCCTGAAGAGTGATAAGATGCTCCAAAGCCTTCCCCTAGTTTCTATACTTGTCTCCCTCCATGAGAGTGCCCTGGCACACAAGGCACAACTGCAGCCCCTGCAGAGACAGGGCTTCATTTCCTCAGGATCCTATTTTCATGCAGTTCCGAAGGCAAGACTCTATTTACTCTAAAATCAGATACTTCCCCAGCTCTCCCCTTGGAGTCTCTTCCACAGTGCGTAGGGCTGCAGGTCAGCTTTTCCTGATGGTTACAAATGAGGCAATACCTACCATTCAATATATTTTGTGCCATAGAGAGCTTCACAGTTAAGATTCTCTGATGACCGAAGTATTGCCCTTGACACGTCACCACCAGGTGTGGCTCTCAGACAGGTATTACCTTTATCACACACACATACACTGTCTCTTTCTCTCTATATATTCTGTTTACATAGGCAACATGTTTGTATTTTTCATTCCAAATGAAATCTGATTGCTGCTGCAATTGTGTTCCATCCCTGCAGTAACCAGCATGATGGCAATTGAGCCATAGCATGGTATTTAACTCAGGGCAAAACACACAGTCCACAAGAGCAGAGCAGGTGCATCACCTCTGGGTGTATCAGTCAGTGATAGAGGACAAATCTTTTTTTTTTCTGAATGTCACTTGAGGTTGGGATAACTACACCCCTACTCTTGTTTCAGTGTACCTTAGGTGGTACTATGCTTAGCTGTTATGACAAAAAGGATTTTTGGTAAAAGAGAGCTCAAAAATTAATATCCCATATAACCACACAAACCCTCTGCATGGTAGAACTAAGCATGGAGTAGTTATAGGTCTGATCCCAGAGCTACCTACAGCTGCCTGACACTTCCCAGTGCTGCTGAAGGTGATGACAGCCCGACTGGAGGGATTGTGTGTTAGGGACCCTCCTGAGTTGTGTATGGTGGCACACTGAAGCTGCTGATTAGTTACTGTGTGCAGCCATTGAGGTCATGATGCTAGACACCAAGATGGTCTGTGCTCTTGGTGGGACCATAAGAGCAGATCTTTCTCTGACAAGTTCTTTGTAGGTAGCAAAATCTCACAGTTCAACTCTAGAAAAGGCATTTGTTGGGGAGACGGGTCTGCCTGTTAGCAAATCCCAGTCTTTGTACTGTGGGGTGAGCTCCCTCCTATGTGGCCTTTATAAAACTCAAAAAAGCTTAAGAGTCTTTATAAAGGCCTTAAAATTACTTTTAAAAGCTCAGAATCGTAAGCCTGATGCCAATAATATGTCCATCAGGAAGGGGGTTGATTTTTTGGTGTCTTCATTGATGTGAAAAATAGCTGTCTAAGATAAACAGAGGATTTTTAAAACTTGGCAAATATAGAAAAATATCAAAACCACAAAGGTTTTGCTCTTTAAAGGAAAGAAGAGAAGAGGGGATGTGCTTTCTGCCACAAAAAGGAATACAACTCTAGCATTTTGGACAGGGATGTCCTTTGTGTTTTCCAGTCCAGGCTGGGGTTGCTATTAGACAAATGTTGAGCCTGTGACCCTGCTGTGACCCCATGCTGTTCCTCTGGAGACCCCAGTGAGGGGGCCCAAGATCAGCCAGGCAGTGCAGGGCTGCCAGAGAAGGGCTGCCTTCAGCTCTCCCGGGCAGAGCAGCCGGCACCAACAATGGGCCCACTGATGGGGCTTCTGCAATTGGTGCCTCATCATTGGCCCTCATCATCCGATCTGCATTAATGAGATTATTAGAATATAATGTTCTTACTCCCACATGCCAGAGGCATGAAATGGGATATGCTTTCTGCTTCTCTCCTTTCTGCTTCTCACGTGGGAAGGGTGCAGGAGAGGGCAGGAGAAATTACTTTAACCCTGCTTTCCATGTTTTCTTGCTCCTTGTCTAACAGGACAGAACGGCCAGCATAGTGCAGCTTGCTTGGGGCATGAAGTGTGTGCTGGGACCTGCTTCTGCTCCCCCAGCCCTGACAGCTTGTAGGGGAGTAGCTGAGTATAACTCCGGGGCTGAGTAAAAGTGAGTAAGAGCAGTAAAGGTGCAAAATGGATAGCATCAAATGAATCCAGGGGGAAGAATGTGTTCAGAGGTGAGGGGAGTAGCCTGAGAAGCTGTTTTGTTTTGTTTTGTTGTGTCAAGATACACCAGCTGAGAACTGAGTGATGATTCCTGTTATTTAGTATTACTGCATGGGCTGAAAGACGAAGTCCTTTCTTTGCCACAGGAGTTTCTCCACAGCCCTGCATGGTAGTTGTTTGGTCGACAGCAATGACTTCACATCTGCCTTACCAAGAAAATTTCCAATTTCCCAGCAGAAAGCTTTTACTACCTTTCTTTGGTAGAATTGATAGAGAAAGCAGAACTGACTGTGGGCAGTGGCTGGTATAGGAGGAGCACAGTGCAGCCACAGTGGGTGGGAGCCCAAGGGGCCCCACGATCAGTTCAGCTGGGTGGTTTGCTGAGTAAAATGCAACTTTTAGGCCCACCTTATAATTTTTAATACCTCCTTTTTGGGTCAAACAGCTTGAGGCAGCGGGATTTGAGCCAGCAGGACCCCTCTCACACTGGTTGACTTTGCCAGGTGGGACCACTCTTTGTTGCTTTTGAATAGAAACCCCCTGTGCTGGGAAACCCTCTGCTGTTGCTTTCTTTTCAGCAGTGTTCCCTTGGGCAAACTACACCCTTGGTCTTGTCAGGTCGG